ATAGGTCAAAGTATGGCCTTCAACGCGGAGCCTTGGTTCACACCGAACAGCAAGCTATAAAGGGCCCCAAAATGACTAGTGTTAACCCATTCAAACAGGAAAACCAACGGTCTAATCTATATAAAAAACGAAAACCGACAAACACTCATGAACCACATCAACAAACGACAACCATTGAACAACAGGTTCCTGACTTAGGACAGGTGCAAACAAATGCAGCGGGTTTAAACGTTTAAATAGGCCAACCTTCACTCTAACCTGAAACAATAGTGTAACATCACAACATAGAAAGACACACTATAAAATAGCAATTGCAATGGCTTAACTCAACCAAAAGACATATAAACAAAAACAAGTGAGCATACACGGAACGAATAAATCAATGCATATTTTTGTTATCTTCTTTAAACAAACCATTACTGGCAATAGTTTAAAAGCATTTATATGAAAGTTTTGATATGTAATGAATTGAGGAAAAACATAATGATAGTCATGCGAAACTACCTCCCACTCAACAGAAGCAATATACTCACCCAGTTATGTTACAATTATAAGTCCCAAAGAAAATTGCACTACCAAGGAAGATTCTGCTTTAACGCAAAAGAAACTTCTAAAATACAATATTGTATGATACCGACAATTATTGTCCATCATCTCTATTGGATGAGTGTAATGTGTTGTCCGATAATGAGGAAGTTTATGAGAAACAACAGATAAAATAACATTAACGGTACCAATTTTTCTGCACCAGATGCGCATTTCGACAAAATGTGTCTCTTCAGTGATGCTCGAGGCAAACATATTTGAACATAGATGACGATTATTTACAGCGGACGAAGCCCAGACTATTATCAGCATAGATCTTTAAATCGATTAAGAAATGTCAGAACTTAGGGTTAGGGTTAAGTGATGGGGAAAATGGAGGGGGGTAGCGAAAGCGACGGAAGGATATATTAGGGTTGTGATATGGTTAGCAAATGAATATATGAGGGTTAGGGTTAGCCGGAACCTCTTTTTTTAACCCTATCCCTTATCCGAAAGTATGACTGTGCATGCGTCGATATAATTCATAGTTCTTCAAATTTTTCCTATTTAAAAAATATAGTCACTTTGTCTTCTTCTTTCTGGCCGACAATAATGAACCCTTGCCAAAAGAGATGTTCATTTGTCCGTGCATGATGTTTTAAAAAAAAAGGTCTAATGATATATTGGATGTTTGCTCCTTGACAATAATTTATTTATTTTTTTCACATATCAACGCATAGAAAAACTGAACAAAATATCTCAAGTCAAAAAGTTTACAATAGAAAAAAATAAAATAAATAAACGACAGACTAATTAGCAAATACCAGGTTCGTCTGACTATTTAAATCATAAAACAAACTATCTAACATATTATAACAAATAATTTTTACCAGTCTACGATTCCACAAAAACATTGCATATTGCATAATCTAAGCTTTCAACTTTTAATCGAAAAAGTACAATAGAGAAAAAATAAACGGTAAAAAAAATCATGAAGAATTCAATACGCAGGTATTTTCAATCTAACATCATTTGTCGCAGTGAATATTTATCAGTCATAGGTTGATTATTACATATATTATGTAAATGTCGATAAAGCTTCATGTTACACACATAAATAAATAATATAATAGTACATTACAACATGTAAACCACAGAATAACAACGGACACCTCTCATTTACACCACAATAGAATTATGAACTGTGCGTCACACGAATGTATCAACGACACATTTGTAAGAATATAGTGGGTATAAGTGAAAAGACAGCAACTCCACGAAAGCAATATCCAGAAGTCATCACGCGACCAAAATACAGTCAATAACAGTAGACAGGTTTACCCATATAGTGTATAACAGTTGAGAATAAATTTAACGGAAACAATGAAAGATCTGCCATCAACGCCCATTTTAATTTTATAAAAAATTGTTCTGAACATCATCGTCATGCAGCCTTTGCCGTGAAAGTACGTGAAAATCTTCCATAGGTATACATACAAGTAATTATGATCTAATATTTTATAAATTTTAAGGAAAGCCTACATCTGAAACTTTTCGATAAGGGTCACCGAACACTGAACACCTGGCCATGGAATCAACCTTATTCGGCCACTAAAATTGAAGATTTTTTTAATCGGTATGAAACACTTGAATTACATGTTTTTATTATACCATTAATTGCATTTTACTGGTTAATATACATTTGTATTTTAGGTTTTAAGTTGTCGTTATTCAACTTTATTAATCTTTAGATATACATGTACATGTATTTATAATATCAAATTTAATCATTCAAATATGAAACAGGTCAAATTTGCGTGTAAGTTTTTCATAGGGACCGACCATTAAAGGGGGTTATGTTTATATATGTTCAGAAAAAAAATATTTTGACCAGGGAGAAAGAAAAAAAAAAAATGATAAAAAAAAAATATTCAGGTTGAAAGTATTTGCCATTAATTTTGATTTTAAGTTCATAAAAAAAAAAATCGCGACATAAAAATAAATTATTTGATTCTAGCCTGGTGAGAAAAATATCAGAAAATATAGTAACAAAGTATTAAACATGTAATGTCGATATAATAACGCGTTACTATTTTCACCATCTGTGGTTCGGTTAGTAATGGTAATTATAACATATGCCTTTTTGTCTACTATTCTTTTTCAATCGATGGAATTAACTTTTTACCATCCGCAATATTCATATAAAAAATTGACTGGAACGATTCAATCATTGTGTTTTTGTAATGTCCAGTGACAAACACTTTAGTGATAAAAAAAAAGTCAACCGTGATGAAGAGCGGATATTGTAACCGTCATCCGTCAAAGTATTATGTGGGCAGTGAATGCCCTGCAACATATCATACAAGGACCCAGTAAAAGTGGTCTTGCAAGGGGTTGTGTGTGTCCATAACACTTAATTTAGATGGCTTCTTCATCAGGTTAAATGTCTCAGGACATGTATCTGTTGACAAAAGAAATCAAGTGTATCAAATATATGAACCCCCTTTTTTTAAATACACAAATAGAAAAAGTAGTTTGTTATGAAGAAAAAGGTAGACTTGTCCAGGATTTTAACACGAGTTGTCATTTTAGACTTAGATACATTGTTTTTTTTTATTATTAGTTGTTTTTGGCCTTTAACTAGCTATCAGTAGCTGAGAGTTCTCTCAGATCTCTACTTTGTGGGGGAAAATAAATACCATGCCACATCTAGTCTGCGTTTTTGTCAGATGTTTTTCTGCTTTGTGTCGATCTGATGAGTTCAGCCTTTTTCAACAGATTTTTATAGTTTGTTCTTATGTTGTACTGTAACATCACTGTCCAAGGTAAAATAAGGAGAGGGGTTGGCGCCTTCAAACATGTTTAACCCCGCCACATTCTGTATGTACCTGTCCCAAGTCAGGAGCCTGTAATTCAGTGGTTGTCGTTTGTTGCTGTGTTACAATTTTATTTTTCGTTCATTATTGTGTATATAAATAAAGCCGTTAGTTTTCTCGTTTGGAATTTTTTACATTTGTCATTTCGGGGCCTTTTATAGCTGACTATGCGGTATGGGCTTTGCTCATTGTTGAAGGCCGTACGGTGACCTATAGTTACTTTCTGTGTCATTTGGTCTCTTGTGGAGAGTTGTCTCATTGGCAATCAAATCACATCTTCTTTTTTATATTAACCCCACCTGTAGTTCGGTTGTTGTTGTTGTTGGTTCATGTCTGTCATATTTGTTGTTGGTAAATTGTTTTGTTATGAATTAGACCGGTAATTTTCTCAATTGAATTATTCATATTTTTCATTTCGAGGCCTTTAATATTAGTTTTTTCTCATCGTTCATGTCATCATATATTCTATCATGTTTATATACTCCGGTCTTTTGTTGAATACTACATGCTGCTCTTAAGATGTCTTTTGGTTTTGTTTTTTTTGTCGTTCGGTTGCTATCATACTGACGTGTAACCCACAGAAATGTTGATCTAGTTTATACCGATATTTTATTCATCCTGTTAAACAGCAAACGGACAATTTTACCTTGTTTGGAAACTTTTAGATTGTCAAACAAATTCGGTGCTATTCTTTGTCTGTTGTCCTTTTCTTTTTTATGGCCATGGCGCTGTCAGTTTATTTTCGACTTTGAATCCCCCCTTTGGTATCCTTAGCCTTTCCTCTCTTATAAAGTTGTAAAATCAAATTTGAAAGGGGCAGTTTAGCACTTGTCCGGATCTGTAATGGTATTAATGTAAATTGTGATAATTGAACCAGAAAAAATGTGAAATTTTATGAATGGTGTCAAAATTAAAATCATATTTGTATTTAAACGATATTATTGTTTCCTGCAACTTCCATATGAAATCGGGTCCTGGTCTTTAAATACATTTCGGCATAGAAGGTCTCGGAAGAAACAATAATTATTTCTTATTAGTTGACGCAAATCAAATCCATGTACGCCAATGACTTTATCGGAAGAGAAATAAAACAAAAACAAAATGATTTGCCCTTTTGATCTTTGTAAATAAGAACAAAACATTTGATTATACATATGTAGCACTAGTCTTTACGATTGTTAATTATTTAAAATAAAAAAAGATTACGATTGTTTAATCAGTTGTTATGTAAGTTGGCTCGTGTCAATCGGTTCACTGATTTTAGGCTATATCAAAGAAAAACCGGCACGAGTCTAAATATTGTTCAATTTCTCATTTATTTGTGGTTCTTTTTCTATAAAATTTGGAAATTATGTATTAAATATCAATCTCTACAATAATATGAAAACAATGTACATGTAACAGCGCCCCTTCTAGTCCTTAGTGCACTAAATGTAACGAGTCCTAAGCAGTGTTTAGATGTACCGGTCAATATATATGTTCCTGTGTTGACAAGAAAACAGATATTAATAACATATTTGTATAGGTTTAGAAATTATATGCATACATGCTAAAATAACAACAAAAATGTTTGGTGTTACATACAATTGTATTTTTCAGGTGTTCGTCGTCGGTAAAAAGGCAAGGAGGAACGTGGTTACATGGACCGGTCAAGTCGGTTACATATACAAATCTCCTCGGGAGAATGATCTGCGAGTGACGAAAACGGAAATTTTATTCATCAGTTTTACTCATCCTGGAAGAGTGTACATTGACCTTATTTTGCTAGGCAGTATCAGTTTTACTCATCCTTGAAGATTGTACATTGGCATTATGTTGCTATGCAGCATCAGGTTTACTCATCCTGGAAGAGTGTACATTGACCTCATTTTGCTATGCAGTATAGTTTTACTCATCCTTGAAGAGTGTACATTGACCTTATGTTGCTACATGTAACATCTATCTCATTTGGTCTCTGGTTGATAGTTATCTCACTAGCAATCATACCACATCTCTTATTTTATATTATATACAAGACTACAATATCATGAATATAATTGAATGTCGATGTAATTGAATGTTTATTGTTAACTGAATTTTGTTTAATAGCAAAAAGCAGCTGTGATCAATGGTCATATAAATAAAATGATACTTTGAAGTATTTTTTAATATGCTTCAGACCAGAATAAAATGCCAGTTCAAACTGACAACACCATGGCCAAAAATATAAAAGACAAACAGACAAATAATAGTACAGATGACACAAGATAGAAACTAAAGACTAAGCAAACCGAACCCCACCAAAAACTGGGGGTGATCTCAGGTGCTCCGGAAGAGTGAGCAGATCCTGCTCCACATGTGGCACCCGTCATGTTGCTTATGTGATTACAAATCCGGTAAATAGTCTAATGCGTTAGAGGTCACATTCGTGAAAAGAGAAATGTATTGTAGTTACGACATAAGGAACATATCCGATATCATCTGTGAAACGGTTATTCCATAACGTTTAACCAACTCGTGATGGCGTCCGTAAAATTTACGAAGGGATGATTTCAACTTCACCATTTGGAACTCTTGGTTTAATAGCCTCCTTGTGAGCAGCAACCTTTTATCAAGGAAATCATGATAGGAAATACAAGCCCGGGAATATCGTATCAACTGGGAGATATATACTCCGTATGCAGGCGCTGCTGGAATGTTGCTAAATAGAAATGAAAAGTTCACAATTGGGAAGCTGAAATCATATCTTTTTTATAAAGTTTTGTTTTCAACCGACCCTCATTGTCAATTTCTAGATGTAAGTCAAGATATGAGGCAGACTTAACTGTATCTGTAGTATACTTTATCTCTAGTTGGATGGGATAGATTCGTTCAACATAGTCACCAATTTTTTTATTATTTAGTGAGAGAACATCATCTATATAGCGGAACGTAAAGTTAAAGGATATTGCTAACTTCTTAACTTTCTTCCTAAGAAGTTCCTGTATGAAGTCAGCCTCATAATAATAAAGAAACAAGTCGACAAGAAGAGGGGCACAATTGGTTCCCATAGGAATTCCGACAGTCTGTTGAAAAACGCGTCCTCCAAACGTAACAAATATGTTGTCAATCAAGAAATCAAGCATCTTGATAATGTCATAACTTGCAACTACCAGCGATTGACATTTATATTTCCTACAAATCATAAGTGCACATTTATTTTTTGTAGACTGCTTCATTTTTCTAGCTTGGAATCATCTACAAAAAAAAATGATATATGTATAGATTGGTAATGAATTTCTTTCTTTAGTTTATATGTATTGTGTAACAAATATTGTAAATAATCTAGAATTATATCCCAAGAAGATAATCACAATTACAACAACTTTTAATTAGGTAGGAGAAAACATTCAAGCGTACATATATACATGTAGCAACAAGAACAAAACATAAGATATTTAACTTTATTTTGTTAAAGCATTTACTGACGAAAAGAAAGTGTTTGCATGAAGATTAGCTTGCTTCTTTCCAAAAAAGAAAACAAACAAAAAATAAATATGACATCAACATATTTTGTTTAGTATATATATATATATATATATATATATATATATATATATATATATATATATATATATATATATATCAGTACGTCTGAACCAGTGTCAACTCTACAACAGATTAATCCATCGGATCACCTGCAGTGATGGTGATACATGGCTGTGTACATTCTGAATATACAACTCGTCTAAACATCAGCCCAACAATGTTAGATCTGTAAAAATTTGCGAAAAGCAATTTTACAGATCTAACATTGATGGGCTGATGTTTAGACGAGTTGTATATATATAAATATATATAAACAAGTCTAAATTGAAAAAAATGTTCAAACCTATGATTGCGTTGGATAAAAACCGCAATTTTTATACGTGTGCATGCAAAACAAATTTCTTGGTAGAGTGGTCTAAATACAGCACAAACAACATTTTCCAAAAGACCAAAAAGTGAAAAAGTATATTTTAACAAAACGCATTTGACTAGCAGGTCGAACAACGGATGCTGACTGCCATGGCGACTGCCATATAAACGGATCACCAGATGTAAAAATGGATCTTAATTTATAAATTAAATACAAACAGAAAACAATAAACTTGCGGAAAAGATGGTATACCGCATACATGAGGTGCAAAAATTTGTACACCATATCCGGATTTCGACAATTAATGTCTCTTCAGTGATGTTAGGAATCGAAACGGTATTTGGAAGGCCATATAATTTACCTCAATTTGGGATTGACTCTTGAATTTTGAAGAGTCAAAATAGGATGAACGGATCATATAAGCCCGAAGGCAAATATAATACATATATATATATATATATATATATTTAAATCTTTGTTTTTTTTAAGTTGGCTTAGTTCTAAAAAGATTGTGCCTTCATTTTACATTCATGCTTTCTGAGGTGTGTACTATTATTTTAAGGTTGCTGTCTATTATACCATATTTTTTTTATTGATTCATTTCCTCAGGTGATTTTTTGTTTTCAAATATTATCTTAAAATTGGCATTTTGTCTGTTGTTACAGTAAATAAATTACTTAAAGAAGAGAAGAATAAAGAAAAGACCAGCAATAAATTCGTTGTTCTTCTGCTTTGGACTTCGTTAAGTGCATCTATGGATTTTGTCACATTGCGTCATGAAAAATAAAATTGTCTCGGGTTAATTTTATGATCTTTGGCCTAGTACAAGTACTTGTTTAGAAAAACTTTACCTCAATTCGGCCAACTAAAATATCAATCATTTCCTTCTAAAATTTATCAGTTAACCCGGGGATTTATTTGACATTAGAGTTTTAATTTCTTTCCTCATTACATTTTGTAAAAATTAATGTTTTGCAGTTTTTACCAATGTTGAAGTTGATCAATAAATACCCAATATAACCTTTAAAATGCAATTCTTAACAGTATACAATATAGCATGTTGCTTCATACTTCTTTTTCAAATTGATTTGAATATCCAGCAAAATTACGAGTACGAAAACAGAACAGGATAAAGTGTGCAATTAACATTTGTGGACATCATAAAGTCATGCGTGATACCTACATGTATGACCTTTTGAAATCCCCCCTCAAGACAATTTACAGTTTTGTTGACATCTGTTTATTACCTATAGCATGTATAATATGTACATGTATATTCTACATGTACTAAATTATGATTATTACAAATACATCCTGATTATTACCTATTCTAATTTCACATTTGTATGGTCATGATTTATTTTCAATAAATATATAATATATCATGTATATGTGTACATGTATTAATAATAATAAGAATAAGAAAAGAATGAGAATAGTTTTATTTGTCATGACGCAATAACCACGCCCAATGAAGAGCAGAATAATCAATACAAATTATTATATATACATATGATTAACATAGATTGTATTGTATTATAAATAAAAATATTTTTGAGGAACACATTAACTTTAAAATTAATATTGAAACCGAAATTCAGACAAAAGAATTCAGTGGTCAAAAACTTTGTAATAGAAAATGGGGGGAAAGCTATTTTACATGAGAACATTAGGGCAAGTGAAGTGTCTTTATACAGAACAGATGGAACTCATTTATCACAAACTGGAAATCAGGTTTTCTTAAATAATATACAAAGGGGGGGGGGGGGGGGTGAGTCTTTCCTACGCACAACAATTTTGAACTTTTCTAATGCTTTAATAATGAAAATTTTGTGGAGGTGAGAACCAAAGTCAGATTTGGTACCTGACTTGGGCTCTCATGTGGCGGTCCAGGGAGACTGGTAGTGCTTGGGGGATTATTTCACTCGGCCCTTGCTCTGGGACTGACAAGTTCTACAATTTGCAGGTTTGGAATATGTGGTTAGTGGTAACGGTGGGGTCTACAGATGGGTAACTCTGGGACCTCCTCCACCTCATCTTATAGAGGGGAGGCCTACACCTGCCAACAGGTGGGGCACTAATAACTGGAGTATTGGTAATACGAGTGTTTTCCCCGGTCACTCCCCATGGAAGGTGGTGGTGTAACCGTGTTTAACTACCAGGGGTTTTATGACACTATGTCAACATAGGTCAGCTGATAGCCATTGTGTATAGATAAACGGTAGTCACCCTGGCGCCTCAACAAAATGTTTTAGAATACTCTGTAGCCAAAGTAATGCCACAAAGTAAAAATGTATATTCTAGTCATGAAAATGTAAATACAAGTTGGTGTAATAAAATGTATGTGTAATTAGAATCATTGTTTTTGAATAAGTTATAAAAGTTATAAATGAAAAACAGAGAATGAAACCTCTACACAAATGAGAATAATATACAGAAAGTCTGTAGTATTTTAATTTTGGTATTTGTGAATTACAATTAACAACAGACAAAGAGAGACAACTCTCGAACAATTATTAATCACTTTGTTATTAAAGGAAGGACTTCAACATAGTTTAGAAAGTACGTCAACAACTCTTGATCGTTGTTCTTCATCTCATTGTTATTCGTTCAGTATTAATATAGGGTCTTCTTCTATGAGTATTGCAATTAAATATATAATATATTATGTACATGTGTACATGCATTAATAAGAATAAGAATAAGAAAAAGAAAAGAATAAGAATAGTTTTATTTGTCATGACTCGATAACCACGCCCAATGAAGAGCAGAATAAATAATACAAATTATTATATATACATATGATTAACATTGATTTTATTGTATTATAAATAAAAATATTTTTGAGGAACAAATTAACTTTAAAATTAATATTGAAACAGACATTGTACTTTTTGTTGTATTAGCTTATTTTCCAGATAATTATAAATTTTATGACAATTAAGTTGATATGACAGTTGTTTTACATACAGTGGTTCAAGAAAATACTAAATATAACTTAAAACATATGAATATTGTAAATCAAAGACAAATTTATCTCAAAACTTTAGGATCACTTTTCCTGTACCCTTTTGCTATTGGCTTTCTGTCCCGCATTCTCCAACTTGTAATAAACATGGATATAATAGATAACATTGATAAAGAGATGTTGAATGATTGTAAATGAGAAGCTATCCACCC